GTGAGGGGCGACGTAGCGATGTGGTATCCTGAACAATTTTAATATTTTTAACGTTTGACAATGTATATGATAGATACATATTTTAGTTATTTTAATATGTGAACATGGCATGCAATGAACTGGTTTGACGTGGATAAGTAAGCACCTGAAGATGGCATTATTATGCCGAAACATGTAGTGCGAGGGAGAGAAGGAGAAAAATGAGTGTATGCACTGCAAGACGGATTAAATAAATCATGGGCTCCATTCTTTCTTCTTCTGTTTCTTTCCTCTGCTTTCAGTTTAATTTTTGCACACATGTGAAGCAGCTTGTCTCCAAGGCTTTCTTTTCTTGGTTTTTATTCACAGATTTTCTTTCCAAATTCTCAAATATGTAGGCCCAAGCCTGGCTAAACATAAGATCAGTGGGCTTATATCTAGTTGATCTGCTCATGGAGATGTTTAACCACTTCTCAGTTCAGTGAATCAACTCAGGTCATTTCCTCTGTGTGATTTGCAATAATTCTGAAAAATTTTGAGATCTCTTGCATTTTTCTCTTACTTGGGTTACTGTATGTGTTGTGTACAGGCAAAAACTTTGCATAAATGTTGTAGTTGGATGGGGTTCTTTTCCTCATTGGGCTAAATAACTTGCTGCCATAATTGGCTATCACACATTTTGGGTTACAATCTGTTGAAAATTGTGAGTAAGTTGATTAAACAAGATCTAATAGCCACAGTTCAACAAAGATAAAGCTTCATATGTTTTATGATTACATTCAAGCATACTAGAATATACTTTATGCATGCATGTCTCGTAGGCAGTGGACCGTAAACCTAAAGATAGTAGCTTGCCAGGCTGCAAAGGCAGATGGGATCTGGACTGTTTCATAACTATGGTTAGGGTGCTTCATATGGTGGCACATGTCATGTGAGAGAAACTTTCTAATTCTACACTGAAATTTCTGATATAGAAAGAGTTCTGTGTTTGTAAAACTCATATACAACTGTCCATACCTTAGTGCCCTGGCAGTGTATGCACAGACTTTATGACCTTATTTTCTTGTCTGGAAGGGAAGATTATTGTTAAGGATGGGACTTTTTCTCTTTGCAATACACAACTCTGTGTTTGAGGATGTACTTCTCAATCGGAGCAGGCTGCACTCTTTAACTTTAGCTATAGCCCTTGGATGTAAGGGTCTTGGGTTTGAAAGTTAGCTAACTTTTGAAATCTTGCTTAATCTGGGTATCCAAATGAAAATCATGGAAGCAGCTAAAATGTCTGTCGGTGTGATAACCTGATGAAGCTGCCCTGAGTGAAGACCAGCTTGGTTTATTTATACTCATTATGTTAGTGAAGAAATTATCAATTCCCTTTATGTGCACTATAATGTCAGCTGTTACTTTGTATGGATGTGAAACTTGGTCTTTTACGTTAAGGGAAAAACTTAGATTAAGGATGCTTGGGAGTAGGGTACTGAGGAGAATATTTGAACCTGAGATTGATGGGATGCTGGTAAGAGGTGTGTAACATCAGCTTCATAATTTGTATTCTGCATCAGGCATTGTGAGGATGATGAAACCAAGGAGGATGGATGGGTGGGACATGTAGCCTGTCTGGGAGACGTGAGGAGTATTTACAACAGTTTGGATGGAAGGAGTGAAGGGAGGAGACCATTTGTGATATTTTAATCATACACGGTGTGTCCAGGATCTATTAGGACTCATTTTTTAAATTTTGCCCTGCAATGCCATCTGTTGGTGAGTTGTAGTCTTAAGATTCTTGAAGTTTCAGCTGTGGCTGTCTATAATTTCAAAGCTCAAGCATCACTGCATCATGTGTTCTGACCTTGAATGTAACAGTACTGTTCTGACGCTCGTTGGAAAATGATGGTTGAACAGAGAGCCAACATCAAATTTTGTTTGAAGTTAGGCAAAACACCTGGAGAAGCATACAAAATGATGAAAAGTGTGTATGGTAGTGATTGTTTGAGTCGCTCAAACATTTTTCGATGGTATGCTGTATTTCATGATGGCAGGGAGGACATTGAAGATGCTCCACGTGCATCAAAGCCAAGAACAAGTCACACTGAAGAAATTGCGATAAAAGTGGCCAAAATCCTTGCATCAGACAGATGTGTTTCTGCAAGACCCATTGAGAAGCTTCTGGGAATACCAAAAAGTACTGTGCATCAAATTTTAACCAACCAAATGGAAGGTCTGTGCGCGGTTTGTATCACACATGCTGTCAGGCGATGAAAAACATGCCAGAGTGGAACACTGCAAAGACATATTATGATCGGCCCAAAGTGATACAAAATTTACAAAATTGACTGTTACTGGTGACAAGATGTGGTGTTTTCAAAATGAGCCTTTCATAAAGCGGCAGATTGCAGCATGGTTGAACCCAAAGAAGCCGAAACCAAAGAAAGTGCGCATGCAGAAGAGTCAAGTAAAGACCGTTTTCTTTGATTCCAAAGGAATCATTCACAAGGAATTTCTGCCAGAAGGTCAAACAGTGAATTCCGATTATTATCTTGGAGTCCTCAATCGTTTGTGGGCGAGAATTCCTCGAATTCGACCCGAATATCGAGAGCAAAGTTCCTGGTCGCTCCTCCACGACAGTGCCCCACCCCACAAATCGAAGATCATGCATGATTTTCTTGGCCAGAAAAAGTATCACAGTCCTTGATCATCCTCTGTATTCACCAGATTTGGCTCCAGAAGATTTCTGGTTGTTCCCAAAAGTTAAGCTCGCGATGAAAAGAGACCGTCACAACACCATCCAGGACATCCAAAGAGAAGGTACCACAGTTTTAAATGCGATTCCAAAAAAGGAGTACAGTGACTTTTTGAAAACTTTTCAATCGATTTCAGCTATGTATTGATTCAGAAGGAGACTATTTTGAATAAAAAGAGTGAAATTTTTAAAATAATTTACGTCTTGTATTTTTAATGAACACAGTCTTAACAGAACCTGGACACACTGTGTACATGTGAGGCTAATATTAAACTGGATTTTAAAAAATGGGGTGGAGGAGTGTTGGCAAGATTCGTTTGGCATAAGACAGGGATCATTGACAGGCTTTTGTAAACATGATACTGAACCTCTGGGTTCCATAGGAAGTGAGATTGCTTTACTAGGTGAATAACTGTTAAATTCGAAAAGAAGACTCCGCTCCATGGAGTTAGTCATAAGTATGTGACACTGTGTAAGAAAATTGTGTGTTACCTGGTGTACAGTATACTAAAAGAATGTTATGATAAATGTCTGTTATTTCAGTTCACATCTTTCCTTCTTTTGGCAGATTTGTATGGTATACACAGTAAATTATAAACTACTTCTAGTTTCCCATCACCCGGAAAATATTTGCAACCTCTCTGATGGAAGTAAATAAACTGTACCAGTGTTCTTTCTACGTTGTGCTTTATATTTTCAGCTCACAATCCGTGTAACAGATGTAAATGACAATGCTCCTAAGTTTGAGTTACCAGATTATCAAGCACACAATGTGGATGAGGACATTCCACTTGGAACATCCATTCTGAAGGTTAAGGCTACAGATGCTGATTCTGGCTCCAATGCTGAAATTGAGTACTTAGTGTCAGATGATCACTTTAGTGTGGATTCAAATGGAATTATAACCAACACCAAACAGTTGGATGCAGATAATAATAATGCGTATTATGAATTTGTTGTCACAGCAAAAGATAAAGGTTTGTTTAGGCTGCTATTATAGCATATTTCTCTAACATTAAAAGTGACATGTGTGTACAGTGTTCTAGTTGCAAAATAACAAGAAGTCTCATGTTAACCATTGCAATAAGGAGTGTGGCTAACAACTCATTATTGCTGTTTTATTATTCTATACCTGCTCTAATTGAAATATACTATGATTGCATTTGACTGTGACATTTAAAACCTGCCTAAAGGTTTCTGATGATGGTGTCTAACCTTAAGTAGGACTTGTAATTTTGGACTTTGGCCTTTTTCTTCATTTCTTTCCAAACCACAGTGTTTCAGAAACTGGATCTGTTTCCATCATCAGATGTAAGGTGCAGAAGAAGTTTCTGTTGCATTGGGCCTGTTAGAGAGAGAGCTATCTCAATCACTGAATTGTAACCAGCACCAAGCAACTTGATGCAGACAACAGCAATGCATATTATGAATTTATTGCCATAGTGAAAAATAAAGATTTTTTCAGTTTGTTGCTGGACCAGTGATTATGACTGGCTGTCTATAACGGGCTTTATGGAGTGGAAAACATCACTCCCCCCCCCCC